TCACTGTTGCCATGCAGCAGGCTGTTTTCCTATAGCCGCATTGGTAAGATCCAACCCTTTGGTTTGCTGACACTGGAGAAACCCAGTAAGTGGTGGAAGATGAAGCAGTTTCTACTGCTGTGAGTTGGGGTGAACCCACCAACAGACGCTAATTCTCTGCTGAGGGCTCTGTCCCAGCTCCCCTCTGTCTTCCAAGACCTGGAAGACAGGAAAGGGATATGTGCAGCTCTTCTGGGAGGGGATTTATGAGAACCTCAGGGTATTTGCCAAGAGCCTCCTGGAAGATTCCACCCTAACGGCCAGAAAGTGTTTCCCTTGGGAAGCCAGGAAGCACTGTCTCTCTTCTCCCCAAGGGAGCACTCTGAGGGAGACCAGCACCTCCACCCTGATGAGTAGTCAGGCCTGGAGCACATGGCAATGCCCTGGGAACCTTGACTTCAAATGAATTGTCCCCTCGCTGACACACACACACACACACGCACGCACGCGCGTGCGCACACACACACGCACGCGCACACACGCACACATACACACACATGCACACACACAGCAGGTAGTTGTACCGCCTCTTCCTCATCCTGCTGTCAGCTCTTCATATACCGCAGCCTATCACTGTGTTCCACAGGCATCATGCATGAGCCCAGAGCATCCTGGCCTCCCTCCTCATCTCTCCCAAGTCAATTCTCCTGCCAACCAGGGTGTCTGGGAGATTCGGGGATCTTGCCCAGAGCAAAAAGGATTAGAAAGTGCAGACACACAAGTAAGAATGAGGTCTCTGGATTTGACTGTGGAGATTCTGACTGCCAGATGGATTCCAGCATGGAGGTTTTCTTCTATAACTGAGAAGTTCATCTCAGAACTAGAGACACCCACCCCGGGGCGCACACAGCTTCTCTTTGTCATGTGTGTTAGATGTATTTATTTCTTAGCTAAATGAGCGATATGGTATCCTCTTTCCAGTGTCTGCTAAAAGGAAGAGAGGTGAAGAATGTCTGCCTCAAAATTGCCAGGATCCCAAACAAAGCTGGAAGGGGTCTCCTGGGGTGAATGGAGGAAAGCACGTCTTGGGTCCTGGGTCTCTTCCTCCCTGAAGAATGTTGCTTTGGGGGCTGCTCAGGGCCCGTTGTACCTCCCGCTCATCTCCACAGCGATTGAGGATACTGGTCTCCTCCAGAACCAGTCAGGGCTCCACCTGGTCCTGGGGGGGACTCCATGATTCCCTCCAGAGTGTGTAGCCCATAGGGGCATTATACAGCTGTGTTAAAGACGTTTCTCAGGGACAGGCTGTTTCCCTAGAAAAAGAAGAGTCCATAATTTCAGAATTGCACCCCTGTCTCCCAAGCCTTCACCACGGACATCTTCTGGAATCTTCTCCCCTTCCAATCATTCTCCTTACCCAGTTCTTCTCTCTCCAGTCCTTTCTGTGGCCCCCTTTCCCGCAGGTCACCAGCTTCCTCTGCACTGACCTGCCATTTCTCTGTGTAACTCTCCTGATCTAACTCCTCCCCACCCACCCCTGACTTGAGACCCCTCCTATTCACACCCATTTCCTTGTGCTTCTGCTGCTCCCTCCCCGAGGCATTTTCCTACATGTTAGCTACTCACCACACAGAACAAGAGCCCAACAAAGAGCCCCACGGCCGCCACAACCGAGACCAGGGTGATGAGGAAGATTTCCCACGGCACCAGGGACCCGGAAGGCTTCGCCTCACTCACTGCAGTAGTGGCGCCTGTGCTAATTCTACCAGAAGTTGTGTGTGTTTCAGTCGGCGCTGATGTTCCAGAGCCTGCAGAGGTCACACTGGACCCAGAGTTGGTGGCTGTGCTGGCCCCACTGGAGGTTGTGCTGGACCCAGAGGTGGTGGCTGTGCTGGCCCCACTGGAGGTTGTGCTGGACCCAGAGGTGGTG